GGGGGGGGGGGGGGGGGGGGCGTTTTCAGAGCCAACGACGCGCTAAATCCAACAAGCAGGCGCCGAAGAGCTCTGCGCAGCACTGGAGGCCGCTCGTTCATGCTTGGACCGTTGGAGATATCAGCAGGCAGCAGAGGTGTACTCAAAGTAGCTCGCTGTTCTATCGCCTGGGCATGGAAGGCACTGCTGGACAGCTTCGTGGCGGTGAAGGATGCAGAGCAAGCTGCACGTGCAACTCGGACATATACTTGCCCACCAAGAACCTCACAGATGTCAAGCGCAGCTTTAGACATGCCGTCGGAGTCTTGTCAAGCTGACCTGATTTCGTTTCGTTTTCAATCCGTCCTGAGTGTCTGCTGAGGCTCTACTGCTTATGAAGATAGGTGAGGGCAATGTGCTCACTTCCTCAGGCTTGCGACTGTGCCTGCGTGGAGCGCGCTGATTTGGGCGTGGCCTTGGAAGCAGTGAGAGTAAGACTGGTTTGAAGAAGCAAAGGGGCAACAGCAAGCTTAGTACTCGGTGGTCAGTCGCCTTAGGCACTTGTTCAATTACTGCGACAATGCAGCAATGCATCAAAGACTTACGGTCAGCTCCGGCGCAGCTGAGGTAGATGCTAAGACAATGACCGAGAAGCCTCTCGTGGAAGCGCTGCTCGACAAGGCCACGCCCGCCTTAGCGTTCATTAGCGAACGGCCTAGGGGGGCTTAAAAACACTTCAAGGCACGAAGGCAAGGCACCGCGGTCAGGCCATCGAGCTGCGGTCTTCGGAAGAGGCCGCAGGGCGATTCCGGAGCCTTCTGCTGCAGGACAGGACGAGATGTGTCAGAGCGACGGCGTTTCGGGGGTTCAACTGGAGACGTTGTCCCGTGTCCCCTACGACCTACGACCTGGCAGCCCGCATCTCGAGCTAGTGTATTCTGCATGCTCGTCACGCTCAAACCAGGACTCCAAGCACCGAGCTCTTTGCGAGCTACGTGTCGAGGCAGAAGTGCATTTTCAAGTCTGTCAGAGTCTGTGGCACAGCGCCCGACACTTGGGAAGGTTCCTGTCGAGCTCCTCCAAAGTGGAGGACCCCAGCAGTTGTCGAGACGACGTTGGCATTGCCTCTTGTAAACTCTGCAACCCAATCTGTGGATGCAGGATTAGCGTCCCAGAGTGCAATGGCGACTGCGCAGCTCGGGGCACAGAGCGGTTGCCTGCACCATGAGCATATAGCCAGAGGCAAACCAAAGGCCGGAGTGTCTCCACCAGCCGACAAATGCATAGTATAATAAATTATAACATTGTATCATGCGCAGGCAGTCAGATTGGATCAACGCAGATATGAACATGTCAGATCAGCACGAGGCATGAAGCTTGCGTGTGCGACTCTTCGCCCCATTCGCCTGACTGTTGCTTGTCCTTGCAATCTCCGTTCCGGTAGCCTGCCTGTGGCCTCTGCTCGTTCTATCGCCGCCACGTTCTTGTTGGCATTGAGGTGCTTCCGATCTAGGTCAAAGGGCCTGGATCCGGATGAGGTCAGCCATTCCCGGATTGTATTCTCGAGTGGCGCCGCTGCTTGTTGTAACGAGAGGTCAGGGTTCAACTTCGCGCATGGGAAGGCTTAGACAGGCCGAAGCAGATGGTGGTATTTCCAAACTGAGCAGGTGGCCATCCCATCCAAGGACCTCCTCAAAGGAGTCGAGGCGGCCCTGAACATCGGTGTTTGATGATTTCCAGCGGACGCATTTGGGAGGGTCTTCTGAGCGGGGTGGTCTCAGCATGAGACGATGTGAGACCATGTCAGGAGCCTCAAAAGATGGATGCAACGCAGCTCTGGCACGCTGCAGGAAGCCCAGCCAGGTCTTTGGCATCGACGTGTCATGCCGCCTGTCGGGATTTCTCGCCACGCTGCCGGATTTCGTAGCGGCCGACGGTTCAGGGTCCACGTCGATCAGGCGACCAAAGGACCTTGCATGGGAATAAATGCAGCAAACTGAGCCACCGAGACATTCAGCAAACTGCGCAGCAGCCGTGTTGCTTGCAGTTTGTTGCAGCTCCTTTGCGGTTCCTCCGAACCCACACTGCAATCGCTTGTTGCTCGACTCGGACTTGAGGTTCACACCGGGGATCTGGAGATTGTCAAAGCTTTCGTGCGGAGGCAAAAGGAGACAGCCCAGACTTGTGCCACTCACCGGCGATGCAAAATCTCTTGCAGGGGTGCATGCACTGGGAAGTCCCGGGACGCCAGTGGCTAAGCAAGGGCCATGTGAGTCTAAAGCTGGGTTTCGAGTTTGGGATAGAGCTTTCAAGTGTTTTTTGGCCATTCTCTAAGCTTCAGCTTTTGCGGGTGCTACAGTTGCATTATGTTGGCAAGCGGCGTGCGAATATCGGACTGCAAGTTGCAAGCCTGAGCAACTATCAAGAAGTGATCAGAGCCGCTCGGAAGCGCGGAAGTACTTGCGGGTGTCTGCCAACAAGGCTTCAGGGCACTCCATCCTCTGGCATGCTATTACCTTCAACCACCACAGTCCGGGAGCCCAATGCACCTTTTGCAGGGATGGCAAGGGACGAAGTCAGCAGGTCGAGCTCTCTCAGCCTTTCCCAGGCCTTGCGCGCTTTATGGTGGAGACATTCCCCCCGGGCACCGACGATGGGATCGAGGCAAACCCTGACTGCGGCTTGTGAAGGGCTGCCAGCTGAGGGCAAGCGACCGCAAGCTGATCAGCGGCATGAGCACAAGACCTGCAAAGGTGGATGAGGTGCATCAGCGCAGAGGGGACACGTTGCTGCATTTGCTGCCTGGCTGCACGAAGGGGCACGAACAGGTATCCCAACAGCCGAGAAGCTGCACCCCATTGCAGTCTGCTTTGCACAGCATGCCGATCCATTATGCCGATACTGTCCTCCAGTTGTTTGCAAGAGATGACACTTCCGAGTTTGATCAGCAGGGTCAATCAACGGGCCGGTTGGTGCAAACGCATAGCACCGAAGCAATCAAGTCACATGACCGCGATTTGCTTTTCAGCTTGTTCTCTCCGTGTGCACATGACAGGCCTGAAAGACTGCTCTGATTAGGCTCGATTCTCTGCCTGTCTTCAGAGGGCCAGGCACGCCTATGCAATCTAGAATGCAGGAGAAACAGTTAGCTGCAACTACTTCAGTCGCTAGCGTCGCAATTGCGTGTTTGTCGCGTGGTTAATCCGGAGTTGCTGTCGAATTTCAGCCGTTGAATCTACAAGTAGCATAGCAGCAGAATTCAGCTTAGCCCACCAATTCGCTTCCGTCTCCTCTCTTCAGGCTTTGCCTCAGCCGCTCTTTCGATGCAGAGGCGAGATTTTGTGCACAGTGAGGACGGCGAGGGAGAGGTCTTGTCTGGATGTTACATCATTACATCCTTGACTGACCGGCGTCTTTGCGATGCGATGCGTTGGAATCCAGTCCAAGACGCAGAGGGGCATATCAGTTGCAGGCTGCTGCGCTTTTTAAGAAACTCGCGACCAAAGCGCCGCCGGCAGTGTACGGCACCAAAAGCAGTTGATTTCTCATCTAGATCCAACGCACAGACTGGCGTGCAATGTTCAATGAATCATGCACGGGGTTTTGAGTTCGCGCGCGTTTGACCCAGGTTTCAGAAAGTCAACCATGCTGGCCTCACGTTTGCCCATGTCGGAGCCACGGATCTGCGCATGGGCTGCGATGTGTTGTGATCTGTTGTGGGAAGGCAATAAGATCGGAGTAATCACTAGCAAGGCACTTTTCCAAAGCACATTGGCAGTCTACTTAGATCGCTGCCTCCAACTTGAACTTCTGGGTGCTCACATTCATCTTCAAGAACTTCCAGGTGGGTCGTGGGTGGGGCTGGGTTGAACCAACCCACCAAAGTTGTGCCACAGAATCTCGCGAACTGTTCGTCCAGCTGCAGCTTGCGCACCTGGGCGCTTTGCTAATGTGAACTCGCACAGGTGATAAACAAGGGCCCTTGCAGGAGGGCGCATAGAACACCCGGCGCAGGCACAAGCCAAAGCGCTCGTGTGCGCGGACAGTCACCCGATGAAGCATCTCCTGCAGGCGGAAATCGATGGTTTGTGAGAAGGGGCATGCAGGGGCGGGGAGGGCATAGGGTAACAGCATCTGCGGCGGTGTCCATGAGGCAATGCCTCAGCCAGTACCTCCACCAGCAGGATGCCCAATTTGCCCGAACGAGGAATTCTCCCTGTCTCTTGCATATGTCTTGCTTGACAGACTGACTCTCATCCGAGGCCTATCAGCCACCTGTCGGATTTCCGGACCACTTCCGGGTTGCGGCAATGCTGCAGCAGGACTTCGTTGGCATGGCTGTTTGAGTTCTGCGGTCCGATAAGGAGGCAGCTGGTACAGGAGCTGGGTCGTTGGAGCAGCACCTCGCATTGGTTGCATGCGTGTCACTTGCCAGAGTAATTAAGCAAAGAGCTCGTGGAGGACATGTCCTGCAACACTTCAAGTCGGCACATGTTCTGTGCGCACGGATACATTGCGGTCTCTGTAGCGGCATTTCATGGTGCCGACGGCACTCGAAGGATTCCAGCGGCGTCGTTCCATATGCAGATGTAGCCTTCGATGTTGGCCGCGGCCCTGACTGGCCATAGATGCAGCAGTGGAGCCCTGGAGTTTGTTCGCTTGCAGGCTGCCGGATGCTGCAGGTCAATGCAGTCAGGGAATCAGCGGTTCTGTTGCGATGCGGGCGCTGCAGGTCCAGAGTTGAAGGGTGTGGCAGCTGGTCGCTTTTTAGCACATCGCGTCGCTCGGGGCCCAGGCTTTTCAATTTCAAGGTGGCGTTTGCTCGAGGGTCGAGCTGTGCAGCAAGTTGGTCGCCCAGATAGAACTGGAACCTTGAGAATCAAGCTAGACATGTTCGTCACTGGTCAAAACCAAAATGACCGATCCGTTTTGATTCGATTTGCATGCCTTGGTAAACGTGTGCAGAGTTCTGGCTGTTTGTGTGGTTTGCACAGGGTGGAGATTATTGTCATGCTCTGCCATGCTGCGGGCAGATCTGGACGAAGAGACGTAAACCGATCTCGCATGGGCCTCTCGAGCCGGTGCAGATGCCCATCAGAACAGAACAAGAGGCACCGAGCACAAGTTGCAAGTTCCAAAGACGTGCTAGAGCTGCGAAGACATCCCCAGCAGCAAGCAAATGGCTCGCCCCTGCAGCGCCGGCCTGCTCTCCCCAACGTCAGGTTGAAGCAATCAGCGTTTGGGATGTGGTCCCGGTTCTGGGCGCTAGGAGGATGGAGGTATTTCGGTTTGCCACCCCCCCCTCCCTCTCTGGCGGTGCACCACGCAACAATGCGTACGTAGCCAGGTGAAGGTTGTGACGCCGTGTAACATTGGTGTAACACACTGCGCATTGAGCATGATGCCTGTATCCGAAAGCAGCGATCCCACGACAAGGGTTATCGATTGTCATGTCGGGCAGCTAGTGCAGTCACGACCTGCCCAATCGCGGGTCGCCCTTGCACTCAGGTAGTAGTTGCGCAGAGCCCAAAGCTGTACGAGGCAATGCATCGATCGGGTTTCTAGGACCGAGGTAGGGCTGCCGGGCGCGAGCTACACGGTGACTCACTCATCAACATCCTGTTGCTCCCTTCTTATTGCACTACTAAACCGTCGCGGCACATCGACGCGCACAGTAACAATGAGTCAGAAGCGAAGTGTTTTCGTCAAGCTCGCCAGATGCTCGAAACCATCCCGCTCACGGAGCTACCGAAGGCCGGTTGGAGCAGCATGACATGCAGTGGCTGGACATGCAGCATGCTGGGCACTTGCCACTTTGATAACATTGATAACCTTTGATACTGATTCAACCTTGACGTGAGTTGTCTTGCAGCACGACGAGTCAGTCAGGAAAAAATCCGAGCGGCTGTCGTGCGCGTCGATGAGCGCATCTCGCAGGAGGCACGTCCAAGCGGAGCACAGCGGTGCTTGAAAACTAGTTTCTTTGCCTGTAACTTGAGATGCCCGCCAGAGATTCTTGCAGCCACATGCTGCGAGTGTTTCTGATTGATGATGTGTCGGAGCGCTTCTTCAGCATGGAGCTGACAGTAAAATGTCAAGCCGTAATCCCGTGAACAGTGGACCTGGCTGGCAAGGTAAGTCAAGTCCCATCATAAAGGCAGACTTGGTAGCTGCTGTTCCGGTAGCTGGGAAAGACATTGAAGGACCTGCACTCTCGAGCGCATCCCGCTCCCGAAGCTTGATTTCAGGTAGTGTCGCCAGATAGAATCAACATGCCTTTCGGAAAGGTCTGGCGCAGCATCCTCCAATTCATCTATCAAGGTCCGACGCGCAAAAGTAGCACCAGGGAGAGAGAAGGGCCGAAAGCTTCAGACAGCTCCAACATCAGCAGTGCCTTCTGTGAACCCATTACTGCATCGACTGCCACACCAGCAGGCACGATACTTCAGGAGCAGTGCACCTACCTGCACGACGTTGCAAGGCCCAACTTTTCGAAGTGAGAGCGCGCCGATAGCAGAGTCATTGCTTCAGAGCCTTAGGCGGGGGCGCTTCTTTTGAGGTGCTTCGAGCTGCTCTTTGCCGTGCTCCTCTTCCGCCTGCCGGAGCCACTCCTTCACCTGGCGCAGCCCGGCTCCCGGGATCTCCTTAAAGAGCCCCAAGGCCAAACAGAAGTCCTCTGAGCAGGCACTCCCTCTACGTGCTGTTGCCGGTCAGCAACCCGACCTGGGCGCTCCAGGCTGGAGAGAGATGTTATTCAAGATGGGACCATCTGCAAACTTGCTGCGCCAGTGTCAGGGAGCCTCTGCAGCCATTTGTGTGTCGAGTCAACTTGTTTATGCAAATGTCTTTCTGACTAGACATGCCATCCTTGACTGAGCTGGATGCAAAGCCTGAAATGTCCGGTGCAGCCCTCTTGCGTGGTTGTGGGATGCCATGCAGAGAAGAGTCACAGGCAGTTGTTCAAGATGGTGACTGTAGCTAGTTCAGTCTGCTTCAGCAGCATGTGCAGAGGAGTGAGTGCACTGAAAGGCATGAATCAAGAGGGACTTGACAGTAGTCATGAATAGTCAGGTCGATGAGATGCTCAACCAGTTGCGTGCAACAGTTCGAATCCACTCAAGGTCATCAAAGCACAGCAGCAGACCATACATGACAACAAACGGATGTTTGCGCAGCAGAAATCCCAGATGGCAGAAAACGAGCGGGTGGTATCACAGCACACTTTTCCCTCAAACGGCGTGGGGAGCTTGCGACAGAGGTTCATGCACCCGCGAGCGAGACAAAGCATCGAAGGATTCCTCGTCCAAGTCCTGCTCAAAGCGCGTCGATGAGGATCTTGCCTGGGTGCAAGTGAGTAGAGTGGAAGAGATAGTGTCAGATCTACGACAGCGTATCGAAACGGAGCCAGACTGTGCAAACAGGCTGATCGCCCAAGAGTGGCCCCATATTGGCTGGGCGGCCCTCTCTGTCTCCCACCTAAAACAAGATCAGGGTCCCATGAATCTGCATCTCTGCACGCCGCGACAACCACTCAGAGTGACAGACTGCGACTTGGTTAACCCACATGGTCGACTGGCCATTGTCGCTCCAACTCTGGCTGTTGTGGCATTCGTCTACGCAAATCTTGATGCGGTTGCCCCACTTTGAAATCAGAGTGTCTTGGCGGTCATGCACTCATATAGAACATGTCAAAGCCTACAGACTTCATCCTGTAGGCAGGTAGCATGTCCCGTGCACACTCCCATTGGCGTAACCGTTAATGAAATGCACGACGAGCAACAGTCGCATATCCGGGCCATGTGCGCATGGTGTTTCGCTATGGCTGATGTGACTAAACGAGGTGACAAGAGTGCAAATTAGGCACGATTGCCTGCGGCATGCGGACGTTTAGTCACATCCGGACCATTTGCACAAGGGGTTTTGCTACTTGTGATGTGACGAAATGCGGGTGATCTGACTAAACTCGGATCGGGGCGTGCCTTTGGGGATGTTGTGGCTAAGCGCGCGATGATGCGACTTAACCCCGCCGCTCGCATGTCCATGGAGCACTCCAGACCGAGGAGTATAATGATAAGAACAACAACGGTGCAGCAAGGATCATCACGAATGTGTTTGACGCCGAGTTGTACAGCCGTTCAGACGTCATCAGCATGACACATGACACCAATGGCGATGGCCAGCTAGCAACAAAATTGACTGGATGCAGCTTCTTACTATCTCTCAGATCTGACGAAGTAGTTCCAGGTCTTCCAGCTCTGCGCACAGAAGGAGCACTTCGACAACCAGGACTTTCGGGGCGGGGGTGTGTTTCCTGCCGTGCTTTCCTGTGCGTGGATCTTCAAGCAGGAGCTTCGGCCTATTCGTGACGCAGCTGCGTGGCTTCTCCTGCACTCAGCGCAGCGTGCTGAGCGTTGAGCGCCGACTTCCATGGCTGGGTGGAATCTGCATTGAAAGACATTGAAAGCCTGGGTTTGGGGATCCCCACATCTCACCAAGCGATCGCGCAAGATGATCCGTGTGATCTGTGCACAGCAAGTACAAGCGGAGATGCTACCCGCTGCTACCCAAAGCCGGACATGATTAGTGCCAAATGTTTTGCACGCGCAAGGTCAAAGTTGTTTCAGACCATGGACACCAAAGACGTTTGCGAGACGTTGGAGAAAGTCGTGCTTCGGCTGCACATGCGCGGAATGTGTCGTAAAGGGTTCGTCAATGCCACTACCGTACTGGCCACAGGTGAAGTCGGTTGAGTGCTCCGTGTTCGATCGACCGAGATCCATGACGCGCTCTCAGGCATACACAGAGGCTAATACCGTTACTAATGCTCGACAGCTGGGTGAGTACTTGTATGTTCTGTCAGCGTGCCGCTTTCGAGCCCACGGGTACATTCGGGTTAAGCAAGTACGAGCACTCGCACTGTACCAGGTCTATGCAGGGGGCCTCCGTCTCGAAGCAGGACAGCTGCACCAACCTTGTCCCTTGTGTTCCCCAAGAGAGAATGAAGAGGATTGTAGCTGGCCGCTCGTTTAGCCACCAGTGTTGTGCCCCGATGCCTCCAGGACTTGATCGCCAACAGCGTGCAAGGAATCCCGCAGGAGGGCATGGCAGGGACAAGATTGTACTTCGCATGATTGTATACTCCTGCAGTCAAGTACCTTCTCACTTCTCCGCTGCAATTACTGTAGCCCTGCCATGAATCGGGTGAGATCGTCTTTACTCTCGAGAGCCGGTGCGTCGCAGTACACGAAGCTGGGACACTCAAGACAGCTGGAACCCCGACAGCGAGATGACAGCGCCAGAGTCTACAGCCATCCCTTTTGGAGGACATGCTGGCAGCCAGCATGCGTGGAATTCCTCAGGAGCCCAGCACATGTCCATCTGAGGGCTTTGTCCGAAAACCCTCGCTTTGTTGTTTTATCAGGCGCTAAATCTTAACATGATAAGGGAGGCGAAAAGGCCGCGCGCGCAAGGTGCGCGCAAGCGCGGACCAAGGGACGCGCAAGGTCTATGTATGTGTGTATATATATATATATATATTCATTATATATATATATATATAGAGAGAGAGAGCATCCGAAACGAGGCACTTCCA